AGGGAGGGGGGCGGAGAATGTATATTTCTAACAAGCCCCGAGGGGCTGCTGCTGGTTGTGGGACCCCACTTTGCAAAACACTGAAGCCCATTTATGTACTTGAATTTCTAGCGCTTGGTGTAAATACTACCGGGATCACTCATGTCGTCTCAAGTGGATTGCAGTTTCTCTTTCCCTTTAAAATAATAATCCAATGTCAGTTATCATTGGAATTTCCAGGGCTGGCAGGAAATTCTGTTCCTAACGCCCGCCCGCACCTCATGGAGCCCCACGAGGTTTTCCTGTGAAGATTTGGGTGCCGAAATTGGCTCCGAATGTTCTGGGAGAAAACAAAATCGCACTCTCTCTCTCGCTCTACATATTTTAAACAAACACAGATGCTGATACGTTAGTGCTGGCCAGGGGTCCTTGTGTGCGGGGCCTTTCATCTCCCCGGGCTGGCGGCCAGGGCAGGCACGTCTTAAGCCAGCGCGCGTTTTTGATTATTCTGTCGCCATGTGCCTTCTTTGCTGGCGGCTGAAAGCCCAGCTCGTCCTGTTGACCAGCATCATCTGCAGGATTTTTCAGGGCCTGGGGTCCAAGGTAATTGTGACACCAGACCAGGAACCAGAGAAGTCTTTGTCCCCAGAATGCCGGTGTCTAGGAAGCCTACAGGGGCACAGAGCGAATTTGGGTGGAATTTTCCATACACAGGACCTAGAAAGGATAAGCGAGCTGGGGAGATGATGTCAGCTTTCCCCAAGTTCTGCTTGGTGGCCTCCCCAGAATAGCTCAGCTGCTTCAATCTGAATTACATTCATGGTCATAGATTGGCCATTTATCAGTCATCGGATTCACTTGAACTGCTACCCAAAGGGGCTGGAAGAGCAAACTCTTGATGTAAATCAAATAAAACATCTCCAGGCACTAATGATCGTTGCTGGATTTGATGCCACCTCCTTCCGGGCAGATGTGCAGTGTCTTCTGTGATAATTATTGTCGCGGGCCAGGGCACAGTTGATGCCGGCACCCAAGGCAGCTGCTGAATTTGTGTGTCCCCAGAACCGCTGTAACCAGCTGGACTGTCAGACACTGTAGTTGCGGTGCTCGAAGGGGAGGCTGTCAGGATGCTTTAGGCAGATGCCTGATCTTTGATGCTGTCTCCAGGGTGAAGATAAGGAAATAAAATCCAGGCTTTGTAGATGGGGGAGGGATGGGGGAGGGGTGTGTGTGTGTGTGTGTGTGTGTGTGTGGTGTGTTATAGTAGAGTTCTCAGCACTTTGCAAACACTTAACAAGTCATATTTTTCAAAGCAACATTGGTTTAATCATCTTACTGAGCATGTGTTTGCCTGAGAACTAGAGAAGGCTCAAAAAGTGTTTAAAAATAAAGCCAAGGAGCTCGTCATCTACTAAGGAACATGCTGAATTGTGTTGCTCCCCCACACCCCAAATTCTTATGTTGAAGCCCTAACCTCCAGTGTGACTGTATTTGGAAATGGGGTTTTTAAGGAGGTAATTAAGGTTAAGTGAGGTCATAAGAGTGGGGCTTAATCTAATAGGACTAGTGTCCTTATAAGAAGAGGAAGAGATGGCAGGGATGCTCGAACCGAGAAAAGGGCCATGTGAGGTCACAGCAAAAAGGCGATGTCTGCAAGCCAAGGAGAGAGGCCGCTGCAGAAACCAAACCCACCAGCACCTTGATCTTGGCCTTCCAGTCTCCGGAACTGCCAGAAGCCACCCAGTCTGTGGTGCTTTGTTGTGACAGCCTGGGCAGGCTCGGTCAGGACTCAGACTTGGCTTGCAGATCTAGTGTAAGAGCGTCTTGCTTTATGGGGCGTCATCAGCTGGACTGCATTTTGATAAGTTTCAGAAATGTATTCAAAGTACTATATGAACATGTTTAAAGTCAAGTAGCTCTAAACAGCTAGAATGAAAAACAATTCTGGCTTTAGCCTTCTTCACCACCTCCTCCCTTCAGGCAGCCCCTTCCCCTCTAAGGGTTTTGTTTTCTTTAATTAATAGACTTAATTTTTTTAGAGTAGTTTTAGGTTTACAGAAAAATTGAACAAAAAGTGCAGAGTTCCCATATTCCCTCTCTTGTTCCTTCAGTTTCCCTTTCTTTAACACCTTCATTGGCATATTATATTTGTTGCCATTGATGATCCAATACTGATAACATTATTATTAACTAAGGACCGTAGTGTACATTAGGGTTCACTCTTGGTGTTGCATGTTCTATGGGTATTGACAAGTGGAGGACGACATGTACACACCGTTATTGTATCATACAGAGTAGCTGCACTGCCTTAAACATTCCCACCTCCCCACACCCCCGGCAACTGCTGATCTTTTTGCTGCCTCCTTAGTTTTGTCTTTTCCAGAATGTCACAGGATTGGAATCACGCAGCCTTCTCAGACTGGCTTCTTTCTCTTAGTAATATGCATTTTAGTTTCCTCCATGTCTTTACTTGGCTGGGTGGCTCATTTCTTTTTAGTGCTGAACAATATTCTTTAGGGGATGTTTGTTTAAAATAGTTCCTTGCCTTTTTTGGTTTGTTATTTGTGACATAGATTTTTTTGAAGAGTCCAGACCAGTAGGCTCACATTCTGAATTTGTTTGATTGCTTCCTCATGGTTTGATTTGGTTTAAGTAGTTTTTGGCAACATTTCAAAGTAGATGACGTCATAATGTCAGCCTTTCGGACCTTGTTGGTGATAAGCTCCATTACTTGGATGAGGTGGTGATGGCCGGAACCCTCACTTGGAAAGGGACATTTTTCTTTTTGTATGTAATCTGTAGATGGATCCTTTGAGGCCATGTACAATTTCTGGTTTCCAGCAACCATTTACCCAGTGGTTTTGGAGTCCATTGATAATTATTGACTAAACTCATTATTACACTGGGGGTTAAAAAATACTCGTTTTCTAATTCTATTCTGCTTTCTACATTGTTTCTCATTTTTTGGTGTGTTTTAGTCATATTAGGTTTATGCTGTAATAAACAAGTTTGCAATCTCAGTGGCCTGATGTGTCAGGTTTATTTTTCTCCCATGTCATATTCAGTGTTGGTTGTAGTAGGTGTGGGCTCTGCAACACACAGTCATTCAAGGACCCAAGTCTTTGAATCTGGCGGCTCCTAACTCAGTCCCCTGTGACCTCAGAGCCCTTCACTGGCTCCTCTGTCTCTGATTGGCAGCTGAGGAGAGAGTGTGAGGAAATGTGCGGGCAGCCTGGGGCGGCATCTCTCATGTCTATCCATATGCTACTGGCCAGAGCTCGCTCATTTGGCCACACCCAGCTGCAAGGGAAGCTGGGAATGTTGTCTCTCTGTGTGCCCAGGTGAAAAAGGCACTGGTGTTTAGGGAAAGGCATGAGTCTGTATTGCAAGGTTGACCCCTTTTTTCTGTTTTGTTTCTTCTCCAGGAGACTTCTTGGCATCATCACAAAAAAGGATGTTCTGAGACATATGGCCCAGATGGCAAACCAGGACCCTGAATCCATCATGTTTAATTAGAAACAAGATGGCAATTATTTTGAGAAAAATACAACAACTGTGTCATTTCAAAAGAAGTAAACAAATAATATGTTATTATCCTAATGAACGATTCAAAAGCGTTCTTTGAAAGGAAGGGAGGAAGGATGAAAACTTTTGTTAAAAAAATACATCAATGAATAGACATTTTATAGCTTTAACCCCTTAAGAGTTTCAAATTGTGTTTGTTAATGAATTTACTAACTGCTCTGGGGCATGTGGGTGGCTGTAAACAATGGAACACAAATGCTGAATCAAGAAATGTTTGCCCTTCTGTTCAAGGCTGGTGTTTGTGAAGCTTTGAGTCCAAAAGGCAGAGGGGTATTGGTGTGTCAGTGTCCTTATTTATTGGTTCCTGAAGTTTTGCTGCTATGTTACTGAATCAGACTGAAGATATTTGCACTTACTTTGTTGGAAAAGAAGAAATGAAATCCAAACATAGTGAAAGCTGCAAGTATGGGGTCACGCATGACTATCCCATTTCTTGCTCCTGTTCTCAGTCTGTTATTTTGCTTATCCATCAGTTTCCGAACCAACATCAGGATCACCTGTTCTGATGGGTGTGAAGAAGTCGTTTCTCTATGCAAGACCAGCATCTTGGGACTGCCGGACGAACTATTGGAACGTTCAGTGCTGCACTGTGTTCCCTTCTGTGCAAAGGGAGCCATCCTTATTTTGAGAGTGTACACACCCAATCACGGATTTGCATCCTCATTGCATTTGCTTCATTTATTTATTGCTGTTGCCTGTGCATTCTTAAATATTGATCAGTCCAGTACTTTCTATGGGATGCATCCTATATGCTGCCAGCTTGTCATAAGTGTGCTTTAATTTCCAGATAGCCTATACAAGAGTCAGGCTACCCAGTGTTACTACTTATTTTTCCTCTCAGATCTTATTATATACGGCTGCAGAGAGGGTGAGGCATACGAGTTCTCAGTGGGAAGTCCTCCAAATGGATTGCAAGAGAAACACTAAATTGATTCTAAATCTGTTCCATTCTCTTCTCTGTGGGATGCAAAATGCTCAGCTTTAATGTATAAGCATGCACTTTTATACCAGCAATCAAAGCACAGAAGGACAGAGTTAAATCCTAGACGGCCAATTCAAGCATTGGGCATCTTCGTAATGATGCTTTGATTCTTTCAGCCGGGACTCCTGTCTCTTCTGGGGGAAGGAATGGAGCTGCGTTTTTTAGAGCCGCTGCATGAGCTGTGTGAACGAGAGTCACCTGTCTGCTCTTTCTCTTCGTCTTGTTCTCTTTGCACCGAGTCGTCTTCATCCTTCTCAGTCTCATCACTGGGTATTGATGTATCAGGCGTGCATTGGGCTGCAAATCGTGGAAAGCCCAATGAACAGTGGTGAGCCGCGTAGCAAACCTGGGGCTGGGCACTCAGGACTGTCTTCATGATGTCATCGAGGGTCCACACTCTTTGGTAATTTTCCCCCACCATCCTTTGTCCTTTGGCTTATTGCCTCATGGTCACAAGATGGTTACTGAACTGTCAGGTACGATGTTTGCTTTCTAAGCAGGAAGAGACAAGTAACAGGTGCAGTGAGAATATCAAGAAAACAAAGCTCTCCAAGAGACGCCCAGCTTTCATCCATTCGCTAGACTTTTGTCACATGGCTCCCCCAGCTGCACGTGAGTCTGTGAAGGACAATGTTTAGCGAGGCGTATTACTCTCTGAACAAGAGTTAAATTCTCTTAATGAGGAAGTGGGGGTTGGTCCTTGGGAGGGAAGTGTTGTCTGCTGTGTTGGATGCCATCATTGTGTCCCTGTCATTGTCCTTCCTGTCCTCTTTACCCTTGCTTGCTGAACCTCTTTGAACATTCTCTTCTGACCTCTCTCAGATGTGACAGAAAACTCCCAGTCAGAATCCATCATTTCTTAGCCCTAATAATAATATTCCTCTTGGATAAAAACTTAGCTAAAAGTGCATTTCTATGAAACCTTCCGGTTGATGTGTTTAAGACATTTGTCAGATCATCCTGACAAACTATGGAACATTTGTTTCTGTAACTGGCCCCCTCCCAAATAATCTCAGCTAGCCAGTTCAGAGTGGAAATGTACTGGTCATTAGTAGAGAACTCCATGTTCGGTCTTATAGAATAAAATTTGTCTCATTCACAGCACATAAGTTTTGAGTAACAGATCCTAATATTGGTATTGTTATTGTGTTTCCATGGAACAAATGCAAGTGAAGCTGGATTTTCCTGGACTTTAAATCCTAAAAAGTCTTCAGGATTGCTTCACATAGTTCCCCTCTTATTTCCACGTGGCCTCCCCAGAGAGTATTAGTCATGGCCTGGATTTAGATAAACCAGGATGCCCTTTTAGCTGAAACAAGGAGCTTCAAAAGGGAGCACGAAACAGTGAAGAGACAGCCAAAGGTCAATGACACCACAGAATTTCCCCCTCTGCCTGTTGAGGCCATGGAGGGGTGAGGGGCCAGTTCACTCTGGGCCAAGGTCACCAAGGGGAGCTGTGTCTTTCTCCCCAGTGCTTAGTGTAGGGATGTCTGTGAATTCATGGGAAAGAATTGAGACTGTTACTTGACTTAAGTAACCTAACCTTGTTTTCCTTCATAAGTTGAACCTCTGGTTTGTTGTGGAGTTCCTCTCTCCTCAACTAAAGGCCAGGCAGGTTAAGGTCAGGGATGGGGGAGCTTGGAATGGGGAATGCCAGGGCCAATTGCCTTCCTCCCCTGGAGCCCTAACTCGGCCATGTGGTCCACCCACCCACCAGCCAAACTCCATGGGGAGCATGCTGCGCAGCTTGCCCACTCCTTCTTGTTAAAAAGCACGTGGGTAGGGATTCAGAAGGTATCTACTGTATCCAGATGTTGAACTTCATCACTTTCCTAGGTGATCTGATGAGCAAGATGCATAGAACTGGGATGTGGAGATGAAATAAACATTTTTCACAGGAATGTTTTTGTTTCCTTTTTCCAGAACCAAAGGCTTTAGGCATTTGTAAAACTTACTGGATTCTTTCTGAATCAGTTTTTTTTTTTTTTTTTTAGTGTAAATAAACCTAAATACACAATGGACAAGGCGTTCTCTAACCAGGCACATTGCCCTATCTGTTGCTCTCCCTCTGTTACTAAGAAACTGTGTCCTTGAAGTCAGACACCAAATAAAGTGTCCCTAAAGTGATGTGCGGAGTTCTGGTTTTTCAGTGCATCCCCTGGGAATGCAGGTGTGTGCCTGGCCTGTAGAGAAAGGAACGTGCTAGAAGCAGATCAGCATTCAGTGTTTGCTGTTACTCAGAACCAGGCGATCTCGAGTTTCTTCATTTGGTCCCTCCCAAAGACTTTGCAAAGAAGGGGACAGGTCAGTGGATACATTTTTGGCCTTAATAAGTCAGAGAAACAAAAACTCTGAGCAGTTTGTTCGCTTAGGTGGGAGCTGATTACTTCAAATGATCGGCACATGCAGATGCTGCTCAGCGGTCACTAACAGGTGCTGAGCTGCAGGAGAACCCGGGTTGGAGACCTGAATTACTAATTGTCACGTATGCCTTTGTTTGAATCTCGCTGGGCGGTGCTTTATCGGGCTCGTGTCCAGTGTCTGCAGTGACTTTCGGGAGGGGCTGCGTATCTAACTCAGGGCACGTGAAGCTGGCTCGTTTGCACTGTTGTGGTCACAGCGACGTTTGCGCCGCCCTTGGTGTGCCAGGAACGGGCCTACGTGCAACTTTTACGAGATCTATTCGCGTTTGGTGTTGGAACGACCACAAAGTAATTTTTTTTTTTTTTATTGTAACACTGTGTAAACATTGGCACCTTATTAAAAATTAAATATTTGAACTCTATTTTTAAAAATATAGCAAGTACGGAGTCCTCAAGAAGCATGTAAATGGAAGAGGTACCAATTTCACTGCTTTTCCACCGAGAAGAACCTCTGAAGACCCAACTCTGGTGACTGCTGAAGTATCCGGCCAAGCTAAAGACCCAGTCTTCAGATTGTCGTGCAAGATTGTGACATTAGTTTGGTACCTTTAAAACCCCTTGTTCTTAGCCTGGCAGGTGATAGCCAAAAAAAAATTCAGACTGAGGCTATACATTTCCAAGGATGGGGCAGGACCACTGTCCCCAGGCCACCTGTGTTCCCTGTGCACAGCTTGGGTAGTGATCTAGCATTCATCCTTTCATCCTCTCAACAGAAAATTTTTATGTATTACTTTGGGAACCATAGGATTTGAATTACGTCCTTTCCCACCAGCATTTGTTAAAATGTGTTTTTATTGATTTCAGAGAGATGAAGGGAGAGGGAGAGAGAAACATCAATGAGAAAGAAACATTGATCAGCTGCCTCCTGCACGCCTCCTACTGGGGATCGAGCCGGAAACCTGGGCTTGTGCCCTGACTGGGGATCCAGTGGTGACCTCCTGGTGCATGGGATGACATTCAACCAATTAAGCCACAGGGGCCGGGCCCCACCAGTATTTTATTTAAAATTTTCAACTTGACAGAAAATTTGAAAAAACAGCAACAAACAGCACAAAGAATGCCTATATACGTTTGACCTAGAAGAGGCAGAGAGAGGAGTCCCCTCTGATTAAGGGAGGGAGCCAACCCCAAGGACAGCTTGGGGAAGATCATCCTCAGCAGAGGGTAGAACAAGTACAAAGATCCTGAGGTGGAAACAGGCCTAGCCTGCTGGAGGTCTGCCAAGGGTGAGTGGCTGCAGGATGTGTGGTCCTTAGGGAGGAAGTGGGGTATGTGAAGTTGGTTTTGTTTTTCCTTGTGGGGAAGGGTAGACACAAGTAGATGCTCCAGAGTCCTGTAGGGCCACGTAAAGACATGGGACTCAGAGGAATGATACGATTTGATTTGCACTGTACACAAACCATTCTGGCTATTGTATAACAGACTAGAAGCTAGGAAGCTATTGCCAATAGGTGAGTTACGATAGAGGGTTGCCCCAGAGTTTTTGAATTCTGGATCTATTTCCAAGATAGAGCCAACAGATTTGCTAGTGGTACATATAAAATGGTACAACTAAGTTGCCATTTACTGAGATGGGCTAGACAAGGTGAATGGCTGCATTTTGGAAGCGCTACATTGGAGATAATCAGATGGACATTCAAGTCCAGAGTTCAGGGGAATCATTGGGGTTGGAGACATAAATCAAGCCTTTGGCATATCAGTGGTATTAACACCATGCCTGGAAACATCTGTGGTCTAATGGTATCCTAAGAACAACCAACCAACATTCTAACAATTTCAATACTGAGTTTTCAGGGAGTTACACTACGTAGACGACTGCACTGGAATTCCAGCTCCCTTGCCTCCTGGCTGTGTGACATTGTCCAAGGGACTGAACCTCTTTAACCCTGCGTTTCCCCATCTCTGTAGAGGGAGCCACTGCTCTTGACCAGTGGCATGGCTGTGAGAATTAGTGATTCAATCACTGTAAAGCACTTGGCTTGGAATACACCATGCAAATGGTAGATATTATCATATTATCATGTTATGAAGCCCTCCCAGCATCTTTAATTGGAAATTAATTTTTTAAAATATATCTTTATTGTTGAGAGTATTACAGGTGTCCCACTTCCCCCCTGCAATTGACCCCCTCCACTTTGCTCCCACCCCCTCCCCAAGCCTTCACCCCATTATTAACTGTGTCCATATGTTATGCATATATGCATATAACTTCTTTGGTTAATCTCTTCCCACCCTCCACCCCCTTCCCTCTTCACTCTCAAATATGATCATCTGTTGCCTGTGTCAATGTCTCTGGATCTATTTAGTTCGTCCGATTCTTTTGTTCATTAGCTTCTTCTTAAAGAAGACCCTTCAACTTTTCCTGTAGTGCTGGTCTGGTGGTGATGAACCCCTTTAGCTTTTTCTAATCTGTGAAGCTCTTTATTTGACTTTCAGTTCTAAGTGATAGCTTTGCTGGGTAGAACAGTCTTGGTTGTAGTTCCATGTTTTTCATCACTTTGAATATTTCTTGCCACTCCCTTCTGGCCTGCAAAGTTTCTGTTGAGAAATCAGCTGACAGTCGTATGGGGGCTCCCTTGTATGTAATTAACTGCTTTTCTCTT